TTCTGAGCTGAATATACCACCTGTAAGCCATGCCATGCTGGACAAAAGACAGAAAGAGATAGGCAGAGCTGTTGAAGATATTGCTGCAGAGTCTATGTCTGATGCTTTGCAGAAGGAACTGGAAATGATGAATGAGTGTGTAAACAATATAAATTCAGTTTAAATCTCACTATTTAGCTCAAATGAGCCAAAGGCGCAATAGAGCTTTTCTGATCAGATCAATGGGTGTCCAGCATACATGTGTAGTGGCCATATGGTATAACCTGTGTTGGTTAAGTCACAATTACAAACATGTATGTCACAAACATAACAACCCATTTAATTTTACATATAAGATACATGTATGTACTAATTGCATGCATTTTTGAAGGAAAAATTGTCTTATTTTCTTTACTTATTGATGGAGAATTAAATTATAAGGAATTAACTTCATAGTTATCCAAGTTATAATAGTGTAACCTGCTTTGAAATGAAAGCCTCGCTGTATAGAAAGCCAAAACTGGCACAACCCAGGATATACAGTATAACTTGGGCTATTAAATTCATTCCTAGAATGAATTAAAAAAGGAAAATTTGATTGAAGAAAAAAAATTGAAGAGTGACAGAGACACAGGCTAATCAAAATTAGATGTTAGATCTGCTCGCATAATTGCTACACTAGCATCTAACAACATCCTATAGAGGGTCACTTAGGGTTCAAATTCGGAACAACCCTAGACTTATTTTCTTCAATTACGTCAACAAATAAACAATGATTTTGCAAGAGACAATTTGATTGGTTGATTAGAATTTGACCTCTGACGTGACCCTCAATGAGATGTTGTTAGATGTTTGTGTAGCGAGTATGCAAGTGGATCTAACAAATAATTTTAATTAGATTGGACAGAGACAGTGACTTCCTAGAGTATTGTGGCCCAAGCCCCAAGAGCCTCGTGTTTTAGTTTTGATCCCCAAATGAAAATCATAGGGAATACCTAATAATAATTGATAGTGATCAAGTTAATAGAATCTGATATACTGATAAATATAAGGTTTAGTCATGTACAGTTAATAACTGATGTCTGTTATTTAACTATTTTTCAGAGAGATGAACGAAAATGGACTAGTTGTTGCTGTAGATGCTGGATGGCAAAAACGGGGTAGCGGAAAGACATATGATAGTTTATCAGGTAAAAATACTGTAAAAGCACAAATATTCGGGGGATTAAATTTTGTTTATTCCGTTAACAAAATTCAACAAAATTAAATCCCACACGAAATTTTATATGACTATATATTGAATAGGGCTTTAAAAAAAATATGTTTGTTTCCTGTAACATTCCAAAAAATTAAGGGTCGGTAGGTCGGGATTTTTTTTTTCTTATGAATTGTCAAACATCCCTGGACTCAATATACCAGGTGTCATATTTACAGTGGACACCCAACATGGCATCCAAAATGGCTGCCTAGCGGCAGAAAACGATCTTCAGAAAGTTGTAGGGGGAAATTGTTGTTATAATAATGATTACTCTTTATAACTAATCAAACTTAAATGTAAACTAGGTTGACATATTTTATGTCTCAAGTTAAGCTACTAGCTAATTTTCATTTTTTAATAAAGGGAATCAGCTGATTGATCAAACAAAGTTTTGCCATTTGTCAGAAAAAAAATTCACCCGGGGGGTAATTTGAATGGGTCGGTCGGGTTACAGGAAACAAACATATTTTTTTTAGACCTAGGGTTAGTTTTAAAACAACGACGAGATTATTTTTGATGTCAAAACAACAAAATTTTATGCCCACGAAAATTTATGCTTCTACAGTAGACAAATTTTAGGAAAATAAAAAAAAATATTGATGATTAGAGTGATTACTTTCCGCTTGTGCCCAACATAAACTATGCATTAAGTTTGCTTAGGGCTTGATTCCATTAAATATGTATGCAAACAGATGCAATAAATTTAGAAAGACACATATCTCAAAGTTCAACTGTCCATATCAATTGTAAAATATTCTTCTAAAGAACAGCCATGAATAGTTATGTTGCTCATGCAGGTAAAGCATATTCAGTTTTGTTCGAAATATGGACCCAAGGTGGGATAATGGAGCCAAAAAAGGATATAATGTTTACACGGGAATATATATAGGAGAAAAATCATTAAGAGTCATAATGAGTCAAATCAAAATATTAAAATATTAGGTGATTTTACACAGCGCATTCGCTAATCGCTCTATGGCACGCAACCAATTTTTAACGACACTTATTAGAAACATTATTTACCAAAGCATTGTCAATACTTAGAACACTAACTTCAAAGAAGTAGGAATTTGGTCCCTATTGCTTCCTGCAAACACGTTTTATAGCAACTGTTTACTTTTTTAAAGTTGAACGATTTGCATTAATTATACAGCACCCCTCATGAAAAATAAATATTTGACCTAATTATGCTATAGTGCACTGGACGCACAGGTTCATTGCTGACTAAAGTGGTTAAAGGTTATTACCAAATGCATACATGTAACATCAGTGATCGAGTTTGATTTTCCTTGCCAAAGTATTAAGACATACATTTTATTAAGTTAAGAAATGCATGAAAAATGCTTTAATAAAAACAACGAATACATTTATAAGTTATACAGTTTTTCTAATTTGTAATTTTTCAGGTCATTGTTCCATGGTTGGTCCTCTCTCCGACAAAGTATTGTCATACTCTCTGAGGTCTAAGAATTGCAGAGTATGCAGTGTAGCTGAATCAACCAACAAGAATCCAGCAGCCCATGAGTGCTCAAAGAATTGGGAGGGTAGTTCAAAGGCCATGGAGGCAGATATGGTTATTGAGATGGTCCAAGATCTACAGAAAAGTAAAGGAATAACCATTGATGGAATCATTGGAGATGAGGACTCTACCACTATTGCAAGACTGAAAGCTAATGTCAATGCTGATATTAAGAAGTTGTCTGATAAAAATCATCTAAAGAAACTGTTTACAAACTCTTTGTTTACCTTGAAGAAAAAACATTCATCTCTAACTTTGTCTGTGATAAAGTACATTCAGAAATGCTTCAGTTACTCCATAGCACAGGGAAAAGGAAATGCTTCTCAAATCAAAGAAGACCTTTCATCAATTCCATTACACATATTTGGAGATCACCAACACTGCTCCTCAAGGTGGTGCAACTTCATTAACAACCCTAACCTGAGGTACAAGTCACTTCCACATGGAAAACCCCTGAAAGATAGGTTCCTTCAGGATGATCTGAAAGAAGTCTTCAGTTCATATGCAAGTCATTCTGATCGTCTTTCATGCTTAGGAAGCACACAGTCGAATGAGAGTTTTCACAGAATGGTGTCTGCAAAAGCCCCAAAGACCCATCATTACAGCTCTTCTTCAAGCCTCAGATATAGAGTTGCTGCATGTGTAGCCCAGAAAAATGTTGGACACAGATATCTTGTAAAGGTTTGTAAATTTTTATTTTTTCGTGCTTATTGTGTCATATCTGAGTTGAACCACTCAAGTTATCTCTTACATTTGAAAATTCTGCAAATTTTAATCAAAAGCAGATTGTATTGTATATGTATGTACATTGTAGTTGTACATAATAGATTCCTTTATCCTTATTAAAGGTTAACAAGAAATTGGGCCTCTCTCCTGGCTACTATACTCGACGACAGTGCATTCTGAGGGATTTACAAAGAAAGCGACAGAAGGCCATTTCAGTGACACAGAAATTTAAAAGGAGAAGGAGAGAATTGAAAGCCAGGAAGTACGTACTAGTATACTTTGATTGTCATTTGTCAGGTGTAAAAAACCTTTTGTCAACCTCAAAAATGAAAATAAACCAAGAACAAGTGAATGATGATAAGTATGAATTTAAGTGGGAATTAATATCTTGCATGTTACTAAGATTTGTTTTCTGAATCACCAAAGATTTACGGTATGCTTGTTATAAATAGCATGGTTTGATAAATATTTTTTTCAAAGAAGGGAGGGCATATTGCTTTGCTGCAATCTTAAAATAAGAATTTTACCTACCTACATACCCAGTTTTTTAGCTCACCTTAGCGGAAAGCTCAAGTGAGCTTTACTGATAAAAATGTATCTGTTGTCATTAACTTTTCACATTTTCATCTTCCTCTCAAGAACAACTAGGCCAATTTCAACCAAACTTGCTACAAAGTTAGTATCCACTGGGCCAGGAAAGATGAAACTCATATGGAATCATCTTCAGGTAGTGTAGATTCAAGTTTGTTCAAATATTGACCCTGGGGGATAGGGTGGGACCACATAGCCAATCAAAGTTTTACACAGGAATATATAGAGAATTTGAAAATTTAAAAATCTTCTCAAGGACTGCAAAGCCATGATAAGTGATATTGATATGAAATCATCCTCAGGTAGTGTAGATTCTAGATTGTTTAAATCATGACCCCCAGGGATAGGGTGGGGCCACAATTGCATTTTACAGTACAATATATTTTTTAAAAAATTCTCAAGAATAGCATAGCTATGATTGGTGATATTAATATGGAAGCATCCTCAGGTAAAGTAGAATTAATTTTTTTTTTCAAATCATACATGGTGGATCAAAGTTTTACATAGGAAAATAAAGGTAAAAAATCCCCCCCCCCCCCCTGAAAAAAAAAGAGAAGCTATGTTTCTATGTTTAGTCATATGCAAATGTAAACATCCTCATGTATTGAAGATTTAAATTTGTTTAAATCCTGATCCTTTGTGGTAGGGAGGGAAACAGTGGGGAATCAAATTCAAATTATTACTAAGTAATATATACGAACAAAATGTTAAAAAAGTTATATGCTGTATTGATATGGAGGCATTCTTAAGAAGTGATAAAATTTAACCCCCCCCCCCCCCCCTTCAGTAAATTACATGTACCATAACTTTTCTATTCTGGTCTACTTTGTGCTCTTTCCTTGCCGATGTGCTCAGGATTTTCATTAATTTACAACTCCTAATTTATTAGCTGTACATTAGGTGATTGTTTATTTTGCTAGGCCTTTTGTAAGACCTCAGTTTAGAATCATTTGTTTTACAGTATACATCTTCTTTACAGAATTCAAAGTATTTCTACAAAAGAAACAAGGGAAGGCATCAGTTATTTAACAGGATGTGATCTCCAGCAGGCCTCTGACATCGTTGAAATTCCAGCTCCAAAAACAATTCCAAAGTATGATCATCTCCCTTCAAGTCAGCTGTTAAATGCTGAAGAGATCTATTTTGATTTGGAAACTACTGGACTCGGTAAGAACCTAGATTTAAATGTTAAGTCAATGCTGATGGTTATGGCCCTCTTCCGGTATTTCTTTTGTATGCATTTTGAAGGAATAATACTAGAGTTATCATAGAAAACGAATAGAAATGGAGACTCTTGCATAATTCCGGTATTGGTACAAGTAGTTGAGCATGTTTTATATCTTTCAAAACTTTACCCTTCCTTCTGAGGACACTGATTAAAAAGAAATTGCATATTCTGAAAGAATTCAAGCATCTTTGAAGGAGTTAAGTCTTGGGGAAGAGGGTTACTATTATTATAATGTTTCAAAATTTTTTAAATCATGCATACTGTAAACGGATTACATTTGGCTGTGTATTCTAATAGCGGATTTGGCGAAACGCAGCAACCGCTAAATCAAGTACAACGCTAAATGTCTTGCACATATACACATAAAGAAGAAAATATAGAAATGCGCTAAATCAAATCTACGCTTACTTATTCAAAAGTCAATTTCTGCCAAATATCATACATGCTAAATATAATACATTTACAATATATCAATTTTTGTATGTATTTTTTTTTAATGCTTTTAATTTTAAAAACTTGAATTTACTTAAGGAATGAATTAAATAGCAACCCAAATTATACTGTATTACCTGGGTTGGGGCAGTTTACGCTTTCTAAACCTCAAAGCGGTTTATAAAAAAGCGTAAACTGCTCCAACCCAGGTTGTAGCAGTATAATTTGGGTTGCCATTTAATTCACTCCTTATGATTTAATTTTCAATCATCAAGAATATAAAACAAGACAAATTTTCTCTTTATAACGCCTTCAAATAGTTCATATTTTAAACGTAACGTCAAGCGGATTGATACAATTTGATGTAAGTCATTGTGACGTAAGCAAACCAGATTATACAATTTAGATTAATTTTTTATCCAATCAAATGATGCGTTACAATCAAAATTAAATTATTTGTTTTTTATTTTTAGCAAGGGATTCTCATATTGTGCAGTTGTCTGCAGTTAGAAATGATGAGGTTTTCAACAAATACATCATTCCAGAAAAACCAATGTCCTCAAAAGCTACAGAAATTACTGGAATAAAAGTAGTCAACAATAAAATGTACCACAATGATGAGGAAGTTGAGACAGTCAGCATTAAGGATGCACTGATCCAGTTTATCGACTTCATGAAGAAATCGGAGTCAGATGCTGTTCTAGTTGGACACAACTCCAAAGTGTTTGACCTTCCTGTGCTGTTCAACATTTTGAGTAAATTAAACATTTTGGAGGCATTCTCATCTGCAGTCATTGGTTTCATTGATACCTTACCTCTTTTCAAAATTTCGCATCCAAACCTTTCATCATACTCACAGTTACACCTCTTCGAAGAAATTCTACAAGACAAATACAGTGCGCATGACTCATTACAGGATGTCTTAGCCTTGAAGAGATTGTTGGACCATACAGGACCTTCCCCTGAAGTCAAACTTGCTGCATCTTTCACTTCAAACTCTGCCTTTGCCATATTCCATCACAAGAACACAACAAAAAGTCTAATGAGCACACTAAAGCCTTTATTGGACCAAAAGGTGATTTCGAATGGAATGGGAAATAAGATTGCCAGCAGTGGACTCTCCTTATCACACTTACAACTGGCTTATCGCAGAAATGGTAGGGAGGGAGTACAGGATGTGCTGACAGAGATAACAGATAACAGTGTGCGTGTGACAAAATCTAGAAAAATCATTGATTCTGTTGCAGATTTTCTCAGATCTGAGCAGTAACGCAGTTGTATGATGTTCTTTGTATGTAACTATGTTATTATTTGTTTGGTTGTTTGTTTGTTTGTTTGTTTGATTTCTGTGAGCCAGTGCTCACTAGTAATACCCTCACTCTGATGTGAATATGGACAGACAGGAATAAACAAAGTTAATTGACAATGGATTCGTACAAAAATGAATCCAACCATATTTCATGTCTAAAAAATTTCAAGCATCTGTGATGAGTAGTTGTGGAGAAAACTGTGACAAAAATTTATTATTTGTGGTACAGACAGATGCACAGATAAACAGGAAGTTGACATCAGATTCGTCTAAAACCAATTCCAACTGTGATGAGTAGTTGTGGAGAAAACTGTGACAAAAATTTGTTATTTGTGGTACAGACAGATGCACAGATAAACAGGAAGTTGACATCAGATTCGTCTAAAACCAATTCCAACTGTGATGAGTAGTTGTGGAGAAAACTGTGACAAAAATTTAGTATTTGTGGTACAGACAGATGCACAGATAAACAGGAATTTGACATCAGATTCGTCTAAAACCAATTCCAACTGTGATGAGTAGTTGTGGAGAAAACTGTGACAAAAATTTACTATTTGTGGTACAGACAGATGCACAGATAATCAGGAATTTGACATCAGATTCGTCTAAAACCAATTCCAAATGTGATGAGTAGTTTTGGAGAAAACTGTGACAAAAATTTACTATTTGTGGTACAGACAGATGCACAGATAATCAGGAAGTTGACATCAGATTCGTCTAAAACCAATTCCAACATACGGCATGGCTAAAGAAAGAGTGTGCTAAAACTTAAAGCATCTGTGATGAGCAATTGAGCATGATGAGTGATTGCTGAGAAAAATTGGACAAAAATTTGTTACTGACAGAAAGACACACAAGTGTAGAAAGAAAAACAGTATAAACCCTGTGCTTCAGAGCAGGGGTATAATTATGCCATGTACTATTGTTTTTTTCAATGTTTATTGTTATAGGTAGTTTGTAGTTGAACAAAACATTTTCTTTCCATTCAAAATAAATCCTTATTTAGAAATTGAAAACAATTTATTTTCATTACCCATATTTTGAGCATACATGAAAAATTAAAAGGTGTTCATTGATATTTATTGAAGAAGACTATGTGCATATTAAATTGAAACATGCACAAATGAATATGAAAGGACATTCTGTAAATGTTTAATATTGTGTATGACCTATACTTGGCAGTAATCTATTTTTCAACAATCGGGCTAGGTTTGATTTCTAGCAAAATTTTTATTGTGTACTTATAAATACGCAGGTCATAAAGTTGGCGATGTTCTTGATATAGCAACAGCAGTTTTCTGTCAAAGGCACAAAAAATCTAATGTTTACAGTATATAAAAATGTTGTATGTTACTTGTAAAGGTAACAATTTGATAGATCTCTATCACAAGGAACATGGATCTGAATAAAGTTAAATAGTTGATCATTTTTCATCTTGAATAAAGGACATTTTGTTTGATACAATGAAATCAAGAGAGATTTACATTGCATGACGCAAATTAAACTAGCTGTTATTGGTACAACTAGTAGTTCAAAACATTCATTTAGTCTTTTTTTTTATTCCCTTCATTTTCAATAACTGGAATTTTGCTGTGAAACGTTTATAGTGAAATGATTACTATGTGGTGGTTTTTAGCTCACCTGACACGGAAGCCCGAGTGAGCTTTTCTGATCAAAGATTGTCTGGCAATCGGTCTTTTGTCTGGGGTGTGTAAAGTTTGATATATTTTATTTCTTTGAAAGACCAACTGGCCCAATTTCAATTAAGGGGATTTAACTTTGGTCATAGGAAGTGTCTCGCCCTCTTGAAGTGGGGGGTAATTAAGAATTTTGGTGGCATTATTCAAAAATCTTCTGAAGAACCACTGAAGAAAAGATGACATTTACGTGAAATTTAGCTTCATTACATACCCTATATTCAATAATTCCTGGGGGAAGGATGGGCCACAAGTGGAGCAAAGTATGCATAGAAAAATATTTGAAATGTCTGTAAAATTCTCTCAACTCAGAACAGGCAAAGCCATGATTAGTCAAACTATTAAAGAATTATCCTCAGGTAATGTGAGTGGGCATGAAAATAGATATTAACCCCCCCCCTCCCACCCTCCCCTCTTTCCCCTAAGTCTTAAATAGTCCCCAAAAAAATGAAATGTCCCTTTTCTTTTAAAGAAAAAGATTGAGTTTCAATACACTTATTCATTTAGGCAAATAGAAAATCCCCCAAAATCATGGAAGAGGCAAACAGAATCAATCCGAATTTCCTCTGGTCAAAATTTGAGAAAAATGGGTCAGAGGAAATTCAAGTTAAAATATCTTTAAAAGTAACTCATATTGATATACAATTTTTTACACCATTTGAAAGCACTTCATCTAAGTAACAAATATATAGAAAAAAAAATACTTGTTAATTATTTCTAATTTATTTTCCAAGCTCATTTTATAAGCCCTGTGAAAGGAAAAAAAGGCATTTTTTTGTATGAGGGTGTGTGCTTTTTGATAAGAATTAAATTTTATCTTCTATCAATTATCATTATTATTTTATCAATATTTATATTCCCTATGACTACTTTTAAAAGATAGCAAAAGGTTGGAATGATTTGAAAACATTTCTTAGTTTAAAATAAATATTAAATATGTTGGACACAAATTTGGTCTTTTTCTTTACTAAAATGAGAGAATTACCTCCCTTTGTCAGGAACGCCTATAGCTTGAAAATTAAATCATATTCATATGTATTTTTCTGGCTTAAAATAATTTATTATGTTTATTCTTACAATTAAAAAAGAAAAAAATCATTTTCAATTATTTTTAATGTCAGAAGCCAAACACCTTAATAGGGTGATGAAGCAATGGTTTTAAGTGGAAAAATTATTATTGGATTGTGCAATAATGAGATAACGATGGAGATATAACCATAATGATGATAGGATTGCAATGACGCGAAAAATTAAAGTATCATCTCAGTGATGACGACGCCAATTTACAATGACGTAATACTATCTTAGTGTATGACATCATCCTTATTGCCTTATGGTGAAAAAGATGAAAATTGGAGTGGACTACGACGTTTATCAAAGAAAACCTGGTTCACAGAACTCCTATTGCATTTTTCCGTCGTAGGTATATCTTCTGTTGGGATATGACTGGTGGTTTCCTGTAGATGTGCAAAAAGGGTTTTGGAATTTTAATCCGAAGGGCCTTCTTGAGCTGATAAAAATTATTCTACGAAAACCAAGTTCCAAAAATTCGTCTCTAATTTAAAAGTGTAGTTTCTGAAACCTTATTGTATATCTTCAGAACAACACACCGATGGTATTCCAAAAGATGTTGCTACTATTATATGTAAAATATGTATTTGGGTGAGGAGTCAGTAAGGCAATACCTATGGCAGTCCATTTATTGTGGTTTCCTGAAGCAAGCTGCTTTATTGGGTTTATTTTCATGCTGTACATTCCAGATGTTGTAGAACGTGTTACCATGAGAGAAATATCTTCTAACATTTGAATTAGATTCTCTTTACCATTGCTGGTATCGCCTTGACTTATTTTTAAAAGAGGTTGAATAAAGTGTAAAAAAAAAATTGAACAAAGTTTGAAATGAAAAAGGTGAAAATAGCGTACAATGATCGATCTAAAAGAATTCCATTCACAATACAAATCTGTTGTGAGGGAAAACAACATGTATCTCTGGGAATTCTAGAGGTGGGATCAGGTGCCTAGGAGGAGTAAGCATCCCCTGTTAACTGGTTCTACCTCCGTGATCCCTATGTATTGATCAGGAAGTCAGCGTAAATACTAATACGGCCCAATGATAAGATATATTTGCTAACACGGTCATTATAACGACCATTGAATTTTTGAAATATTGTATCGAATGTTTGACCTGAAAAAAGATTTTTGCCATGGCTTCTTGTTTGACCACTGCCATTTGGACTTTTGCGAGAAGCACAGCATTTTACAGCTGACGGCTTACTTTTACATTTAAACCTGCGCTGTGTACGGAGATCAGAAATTGATAACAGATGAGAAATCATTAATAGTTGTTATAGTGATGGTATTCGGGGCACAAACAATAATTACCAACACAAAAGATAATTGGAGGTAGAGTATATTTACTTAAAATACCTTATTAAAAAAAATGGTATCTTCTTTCATTTTCCTTTTCTAAAAACGTTCAATTATTATCTTTGTTAACTGTTTAGTTAAATATTTAAAATATTTATGTTGGAAAAGAGCTCTCGTATATTTTCCTGGAGTAAAAGTAAGCCGTCACTTGTAAAAATCAGCGCTTTTCTTTCGCAAAAGACCAGAGGAGAATACAATTATCAACTGTAGATCACCACATTTTTGTGCCAAATTATTATTTTTATTTTTAAACTAGTCACGTTACTTACAAACAAATTTAAATATGATGTTTAAAATGGTTGATGTTTAACAAAATACAAATATCGAAACGAAAATTTACTTGGTAGTTTTGATTTAAATTCACGTGCATGAGATAAATACATATTTAATGTACAATATCATATACATTTAAGGTTAGATGGCACGTTCCTTTAAAAAATTGCATCTCTTAATATCCTAAAACAAATTAATCATAAAAACCATTCTCTTTTGACATTTTAATGTCTTCAATTTTTTTTTTTTGAAATAAAAGTGCAGCAAAAATTGTGATATCGGCAATTCAAAGGATAATCCATAAGGATTATATAAAAGAAGTCACCCTCTCGTATCTTGCACAAATGTCTGGTAAGGTACCTCATTTTTTGTGTGCGAGGAAATTAGTTTAAATATAACAATATTTCAATGATTTTTATTGCAAATACTTTCATTATATCATCATTCTCATATAATATTGTTAGGCCATTATTTTCACAATAAACCGTGTACTTGTTTACACTTTTACCAGACCATGACCATGAGCATACGGCAGATGTGACCGGTGACATGATGTTAACACCTCCAAGGAGCACAAGACGGGTGTGATTCATCCATGTCACTTGATTCCACCTCTGAACCTCAGCAGGTGATAGCGGAATACAAATAAGGAATGTTGACGAGGGAAAATTTGAAATCATGACCGATCAAACACTGCTGACTGTTGTTGCATTTCATTCGCAAAGATTAGGGTATTTTCTGATCAGGATCCCATTTCAACACTAGCTAACACGACAGACGCAATCAAAGCCAGGTCTTCGTCCCTATATCACTATACATAAAAACCCGCAACATTTACCATCTTCACCTAGTGTACAGAAAACCAGTATTCCTACAGCCAGTCTAGTAGGTTTGCACAATTTCAAAGGTACACAGGTCTTAATGTAGTACTTCCTTTATACCAGGCCTGGTTTGCTACACCTGATCTGCAGTCACTGTTGTTGATGCTTTTTGTCAAATACGTGTGTCGCATCACTAAATCAACAAATAAACGTAGGTATCGTGTACTCCACTCGTTCTTTTGTTTTAAATTTGTTTTTGTTGACTAACGCGAAATTGGAAGTGTTTAAAACCCTTGATACATTTGGTTGAATTTCCTACAAAGAATGTTCTGAAAAACTAATAATCAAATATAGTTGAAACTCTTATGATCCGTGACTAAAATCACACAGAATTATCTTTCGAAAGCATTTACAATCTATTCCTGATTTTATCATATCCCTAATATAGCAAAAAGATATGGTCCCATTTTACGATTCCAGTTCAATACAGATAACACGAACTCTCAATTCTTGTCTGCAGTATATTTAATTAAGGCTAATTAGTCTACAACAAGTAATTAGCACCGAGACAACAGGAATATATAGATGATATTATACAATTCAGAGTCTATGTCAACAAATCACATGACCATTATTATAATTACTACTATATCGTATTATTATCGTCTCATTATATTCAAATAAACAAGTTTTGTCGTAAATAAATTTTAAAATAAATAAGTTTTAATTACTCATTTTTACTCTATTTGTGTTCTGTTAGTTTCTCTCTTATTCTTTGAACTTCTGTCAAAACTTAATTTAATGTACAAAGTATTATGCTTGGTTGACAAACATACAATGCAGTGGATCTTTTTTTCTATGCATTTAATAAAATGTTAACAGTAACAGTCTTAAATAATAGCAAAGTAGAGAACATTTATGAATAAAATAACACGTGTATATCACATATTTTTTAATAATATTAGCAATATTACCTCAATCATACTTGTACAAACATCCATTTTGTCTCTCTGTAATTAAACAATTACTTCGTAAAATATTTACGAATAACATGATATTGCTTTATTATCACCAAGAAATGATGCTGAAAATACTCAATGTGGATCATAGGCTTAGGTCCTTCTGTGATACGGAGCCCCTGCTTTATAAAATAAAACTTATTTAATGATTTCTGCTACAGTACATCTACTTGTTTTAGTACACTGACAAGTTTTCCCCCAAAATATCCACTTCTCCATAAGATAAAACAACATTAAAAATATGTTTAGATCTACATGAAAATGACCATGCTTTATAAAATTTCATGTGTATATAACTTACAGATAATATATGGACTCATTCGGATCATTTTAACATTCTAATATAATGCATATTCATAAGAGTTTGGAAGCATTTAAAGACGTTGTTTTCTTTCAGCGAACTTCTAACAACAATATTTCTAAATCGCTCAGACACACCAGAATTTGGCATATCATTGCAGGACTGGGTAGAGATACAGACCACGTGACACATAGCCAGACCACGTGACACATAGCCATTCTAGTAGTCATTCCCGTACGGATCTTCGTCGTCGGAAGTGGGTAAACTCTTTCCAGTCTGGTTGTATGTGACATACTGGACAGGGCATTGGTCATTCATAATCAGGGACTAAAGGTGAAAATATTACATATAAATGTAGAGATCAAAATTGACATTTTAACCTTATTATTATTTTACATGGTATTTGTATTTGTCATTTCATATAAATACATGATATTGTATATCAACTTTTGATGTGTTGAGTTTAGAAGAATATAAGTAAAGCAGGATGTAAAACGTAATGATTAAGGCATAAAAAGTTTGATTTACAAAGTTGAAATATTTTACCATCTTCTCTTCTCGTCCTGGGGGGTTCCGTATCCAGTATAGAAGTGGAGCATAGATCAAGTTTATTATTGCTATAATCCACAGCATCCTAAAAAGAAGTTGAACATAAATCAGGTTAATTAATTATCTAATTATCTATGCTCTACAACATCCTATATTTATACAAGATGTCAGATGATAAACAACAGTGTTTTTATGTAAATTAATCCAGACATTCTTATTCTTTAATTTTTTTCCCTTCATTTCTCAATCACGTTCCTATTTACAATAAGTTTGAAAAAGAGATTGTTTTACCAGTTGAATCCTATTTCTTTAACCAAGGTTCCACTAATTGCAGGACCTAAATAACATTATTACGTTGTTACTATTCGACAATTTTTAATTTCAAATTAGTTTAAATGAAAGAAAGTAAAATGTAAAAGAAAGTATTACATTATTCATGCAAAAATATTTCAATATAATTAAAGAACATAAATTTCTTACCAAAGGCAAAGCCTAGGCAAAAGGCGACGTCTGCAATAGCATACACACTACCATACACAGAGACGTGACGAAGATCTACCAGGTATCCCATGTGTGGCATCATAGAGGAATCCACCATACCTGTGTAAATAAAGTAAGCAGGTAAATCTAAGGTTACCTTATAAAGACTGGTTCCTTATAGAGTCAAGTAATATGTGTTCATTGTCAATGTCAATCTTTTGTTTCCTTGGGTTCAAAACTCTAAAAGCAAGGAAATAGGTAAAGATAACGAATAATCATTGATCTACATAATATTCAAACAATACAACTCTTAAAAAAGACCGTAAACATTAGACTTAGAAATTTCAGAAGTGGGGTCAGATGCCAAGCAAGAGTAAGCATACCCTGTCGAAAGGTCACCTCCTGTTGAGCACTATGTATTGATCATGTTGGCGGAGTCATAGTCAACTTAATTTTTTAAAAAGAACAAGACCATATCATTCATTTGAAGAATGTTAAACAAAATATACCTAAATTATGTTATATTTGCTATCAAGGTCACAATCACGACCCTAAATTTAGGAAATCCTGATTTAAAGATGTTGTATCTCTGTAAAATCTACTTATTTATATCATACTCTTTCATACCCCCGCTTGAAAAGTGGGAGGGTATATCGTAATCGGGATGTCCGTGCGTCTAGCTGTCTGTCAGTCCGTCCGTCTGTTACTCTTTGGGGGTACCCATCTCTTATCCGCAACTCCTCATATACTACTGAATAAAATTTGATGAAACTTTCAGAGAATCTTTATTGCATAATGCCATTGTGCACCTCTTATTTTACCCTTTGATCCGACACATATTTTGGGTTTTCAATAGCAAAACACGGACACTGCTATTATATTATATTTCATATGTTAGGCGGGGGTATCATTTAATGAATTCATTGCTCACAGTACCTCTAGTTTTAATTTATTGAGTCATAGAGTGAATACAGAATTTACAAAATGACAATAAGAGTATTTTAAAACGACTGAAAGAAATTTATAACATAATGAAATAATTGATATTTTCTTTTTACATATTTCTTCCACTTTTCATGATAAGTTTTCAAAGAAAACTACCATTGTACAACTTTGATCATTCCTAAAAAGGGTATTTTTTTTTATTTCTATGGAGACAGCAGCTTTTTACCACAATGTTTAAAAGAAACTCAATAATTGAGGTCAGTTTGATTTTTACTAGTATAATGTGAATTAAAAAAAAACTAGTTGTAAATATTTTTTGTCTTTTTATCCACTACAAATTTGGATTTTAAGATGCATGAACATCAATATGGATATTCGTATGCTAGGGAGCAAGTGCACCGTAAGATCAAGGATTACATGCTGCCGATGTCAAAATATGTTTTTATAGAAATAATTTATTGTGCTGTTCTGTTCTTACCTATTGCAAAACCAAGTCCAAAATTTGGTGCTATCAAATGATATATATTTCTTGAAAATGGAATCTGAAAATGAATAAGATAGACCTATTGATATGTTACTTTCATGAATTAATAAAGATATCGATAGAAAATTTAAGATACCGAAAAATAGATTAGATATCGATAGTTATTAATGATATCAATAGAAAACTAAGATATCAATTGATTATTATCAATTATATATATTTATAAATACAAGTAGTAAAGATATCGATAGATAAATATTCAGAAACACTTACAGCTATTAAGCAAACACCTATAATAATCATTCCGATTAATGCGCTGAGCCACCTGGAAAATAAAACCACTTGTATGTTTTTCCTCAATAATTACTAATATTAGTTTGAAAACACAACTGAAAGAAGAAAAAACTTTTCAAAATAAAGTAGGCTTTGATATCCGGTCATATTTAAAACGTCTACAAGACGCCTTTATTTCATGTACCCATATAAGGAGTTTTAATGATATATTAGGCCATACCTCCCCATCTTGTGGGCCAGTGGACCAAACGTATTTGTTCCTATTAAGTATGATATACTGGCAGGTAAAAAGGCAGCACCTGTAACCAATAAAATTCAGTGTTAAAATTAAATATCATTCCTCTGGATCAAACATTTCTTACTCGTATTTATGAATCAGTTATTAAGGGAGCCAAACGTTTTCAGCAAAGTGTTCAGCAAAAGTACAAGAATAGAAGTTCAGATTTTAATTATTTCATGTTTAATTTGTAAACCTAATTAGAATTCATAATCATGTTATAAATTATCCCTTAATAATAATCAAAATTTCAGATTTTAAGAATGTACATGATAAAGACGAATTATCAAACTAAAGTATAAGTCACATTATCCAACGATGGGGTATACGATGAGAAACCGATGCATTTTTTAATGAAAATGGCGTGGTTGCCGGCCGGGCACCACTAGTGATCGGACGGTATATATCTTTTTTGCGAATCGGTGGGGTCATCGGTAGGAAATAATTCGTAGTTAAAATTCAGCGATGTCTCAAACGATGCCTCACATCGCTCCTCATCGGCAACCCATCATTAATACATCTATCAAGGATCGGCCGATGTATGGCGGAGCATCGTCCAATATCTGTTGAATCTGAGGTCATCGGGGAGTTTAGTGATGTTCAACAGATAACGACCGATCATCGGTCGATGTTCGACCAAACATTGGCCCGTAGTCGACCGATGTACGAACAATGTTCATCAATGTATGAGCGATGTAATATACATCGGCCGATTATCCTGGAACATCGTTTTATGATTAGCAATGCATCGCTGGGCCTTTGTAAGTCCGACCGGCAACCACGCTATTTTTATCCAAAGACGCATTGGTTGGCCATCGTATACCCCATCGCTGGATAATGTGACTGATACTTTAAGGACTACTTGGCCGATGTGGACCGTTGTTGAGGCATCGTTAACACCACGGATTACTACCGATTACCACCGGTCTACGGCTACCGGCCGGGAAATGTGACCTAGGCATTAAAGATACGACGTGTGATCAAAAAGTTCGCGAACTATTTCTATATTTACAAAACCACAATTAAGACTAGGATAAAATTTGGTACATACATTGCCATACACAAGTTCTATAAATAACATATGTTGAATAATTTTGTTCCTTGTTTGTAACGTCACAATGTGAAAATTACGTCAATGGGTAGATCACTTGTGACAAAAATTGGCTGTCTCAGTAGTACTCGTTCAATGAATGCCTGTAAAGTTTATGGTATATCTTGGAAATTCCTTTTCAGTAGCGTATGATAATTTACCCAGTTAATTAAGACAAGAGACTTCCTAGAAATTTAATCAATGACTGGATTGATCGTTTAAGTGAAACAAGGGAGATGGTTTAAAATGATATTTGTTCTGTTGCCCAGTGAATGAAGGTCTGAAAAGAGATATGTTTTAAATTAAAGAATTTTTTTGCGAAAGACCTCCAATTTACCGTTTGAAAAATAGTTGAATATCTGCACAATAATATAATTATTAAATACATATGAAATCGTTTACTTTAGATTTTAAAATTTAGATATGATAAAAAGGAGGCACCCATACTTAATCATCCTTGTAAAAACGACTCCAGAGACAGAGAATTTGGGTTTCGATGGTCGCAACTCTCATTTTGGGAAAGTATATTCTTATCAACCCATTCTGTTGCCGAGATTTGACCATTTCTGACAAATGACCTATTCTTGTCATGAAAATTAACGTTCACCGAAAGAAATATAAAACTCTATTTATCACGTGATTCGTGAATGAGCAGAACGGTGACAGATGTACATTAAAATCGGAGAGGGCTAATTTAAAATAAAATCAACACTGAAACCGAATAATGTTTCTTTTACGGAAGTTATTCAATTAGTTTGCGAACCGTTTGATCACCCCTCGTAGGTAAGCAAGCAAATTTTGTCTAAAATTGGCGAGACTGCTAATTTTATTTGCATTGATGCAGAGTTGATAATTTCGTTATTCTAACATTCCCCTTATTATTAAATACACTACACTGTATCTGAATCTAACGAATGTTTTTTTGAATACCCAACACAAAAACTAAACTAAGAAATTGTTTCCAAACCTAAATTTATACAACACACTGCAACATGCTCAAATCAAGCACTTTATGATAAGAATATCTCGATACCTTGCTGCCATTCCGGAGATCCCATTGTCTCGAACATCCATATCGGCAGGGAGGGCTCCATCATAGCGATACCCATGTTAGCAAATGTGATGGATCCTAAAACCATTTTGTAAAATTCTCCAGTCAAATTTTAACAAAAGAAAACAATCATCTCGATAGAAATTGAATCTTTTTACAAAGTCAGAATAGCATTATGTTTAAATTCTATCAGTTCAAATCTTTTTAAATTGTTAGATTGCATAATGTTTAAAGTTTATCAGTTCAAATCTTTTTAAAATGTCAGAATAGGAAATGTTTAAAGTTAATAAGTTCAGAAGTAGGAGCAATTAAAGATATTTTTTTTCTAAAATTCTGTGTTACCCATATAAAGATAAAATGTCATACCCGCTGCTATAAGTATGTAGGGATCCCTTAATAACTCCGATAATGGGGCTCCTAACTGGGACTCTGGTTTTACAGAAGGTTGCAGCATAAACATCTGTAGTACTAGAAGACAAAATGTAGTCAAAAGAACCGTGTGTACTGGTTTATTGATGCATGTACTGTAATGGGTTATTTTTTTCTCGTTGTAAATTCGATCAGAAAAAGCTACTGCTTTAATTCACCCCATTGTATTTGGATATATTAGAACAAAGAAGACAATTTCTGCCAAGAAGGAAGAAAAATATGTATGTATTGGGAACCCAAAGCAATGATGTATCCAAATGGTTAGTTTTATCCCTTGAAAATAATGCTTTTGTCTTGAGCATAAGTAGTCGACCTCTAGATTCAATTGATTTCAAAATCTGTTGAAATATGCATGGACACAAATAATCCCAGTATTTAGTTTTTTTTCCATTTTCAAGGTGTAATTTTATATGAATAAGTCGTAGAACTTACAGCCGTCTAGTAGGGCAAGCGAAGAAAGAATGAGAAAAGGTGCTTCTTTTCCAGCAAATTCATACATGATACCTCCAAATGGTGGCCCAACTGTAAAAAAAAAAAGAAATAAATAAGATAATAAAAATGACAATAAAAATGCTGTTTTACGGAAGTACTGATTGATATATGTTTGGTTATAACATTTCAAAGCATTAAGATTTTTATTAGATAAACAAAAGACAGAATATTCAAAATTCACGCTAAAATTGCACTGTACATGAAAATCTGCAGTAAAAATAACTGATCATTCACGCAATTCTCTACTTCCTTCAGATCAGCTAGAGCAAACCTACCAAGTACCCCCATGGCTAGACCACCTAATGCCAGACCCATGGCATTTCCTCTCTCCTTATCATCTGGGTAAGTCATTGCCAACATCCCCATTCCTGAAAATATAATATAGTAACAAAAAATCAAAAGACCACGTGTATGTGTGTATCTGTGTAACTAAAAAAAGGTATATATATATACTAAGATATTTGTATACAGAAGCTTAAAATTTTGTATGCATTTACAGCCTACCTACAATAAATTAACTGTATCATGAATTGATAAAATATGTTTACTGAGCATTTATTGGTATAGTGATTATTTTTAGATTTACCTGCGACACTTGAGCAGGAGGAACCGATTCCTTGGACTGCTCTGGCAAAAACAAGGACCCAGTAGTTCTCCCCAAAGGCAAATACTTAAAGAAACAAAAAGACAGGGGTGAGAATGCAAAATATGTTTCAATTTTTCCCTCCAAATCACAAAACTGCTAACAAAAAACTTAAAAATATTGAATATGTTTTTTTGCAAATCAAGCTGAATTTTTTTGATTTGTATAGCTATGCATGATATGAATGGTACTAGTACATGTACAATGTCAGTTAGATTTATTGCGATATAGATGGAGTTTTGCTTTATCTTGTTTAGGTCTAAATCTCGGTCATTTAGGTTATTTGCCTAGTTTCACACTTCTAATTTGTTGAGATTACATGTATATCCTTGGTACTTACTGACTGTAGATACAAACATAACCACGAAACCCGTGAACATTGGAATCGTGTACCCAACCCTGAAAGTAAAAACAAACGGACTTTTAAAGTTGGGATCGTTTATAAATAATATAGAACTAAAACTTTTGAACGATAGAGGAATGTAACTTTCATGGTATGCAATTGAATCATAAGAAGAATCTGTCAATTTGGCAGTGATGATAATGAACATTACGGATGCTTTTCATTCTATTAATTAAACATTACATATCTAAATTAAACAAACAAGGATCTCTGACGACAGAGTTTGGATCAGATGTCATGTAGAGTTAAGCATTCCCTGTCGCCAGGCCACACTTGCCGTGTACCCCTTGTCAAGTTCGGATAATTAAGGGAAAAGAGACAATATAATTCAGTATAGAATTAATGGACTGGTTTTCATGGAAGGCATATATCAACATTGAATCGATATAGAAAGATTGTATTTGCAAAACAGTTGACCATAGATTTTGTGAAAGATGAATTTTCTAATCATAATTGTGAAATTGGAAATTGTGAATCCCATCCTTGCTACAGAATATATTCTAATCGAATTTTAAATTAAGACTTTATGAGAGTTTGTAAACCATAATGTTTTAGTTTATAATGAACTGCACATGAACCGTACATCTGGCTAGGTTGCAACAAATGATTGGGGTTTTACTTGGAAATATCCAGGAATGCAGCACTTAACTGTAGCAAAGTCTCATGCAGCATTTTAATCGTTTGTTAAACTCTACTACACTAAAACTTCTATATTCACAGGGGCAAGTACAGTCTATGTTTGCTTTAACATGACCATTATATTTTGCTTTGAATATATAGAGTGATTACGTAAAACCAAATTATAGTGTGTTACTGGTCCCCGTTAAACAATTCATTTTAATATTGAGATTTTTCATATAACAACATATTCTTTATTCTTGGAAAAGAGCTTCTTCTTAGTACGAGATTGTATTGTGAGTTATTCAACTTCTTATAAAATTCCAATTTTTTAGGTGGAAAATAAAATCCAATTAACGAATCATGGCTTTAGCTTTCTATTCTGCTTTTGTCCTTGTTGTAAAAGTGAATCGCTTTGATGTTGAGTGCAGTGTTTTATTTTCTTTAAAAAGTTGTGCCCCCAGAATGTTCAAATTAGAAGGTCGCTGGTCAAATCGTCAACACAAATTTAAAGTGCAATTAAACGAGAAACCTGCAGGAAGTCGATGTAATTTACTGAGGAACTTGGTCTCTATTGAAACGGTTTTACTCAATAAAGTGACTTGATTACAAAATTAATCCGCGCTTTGATAGAACTACTTTCAATAACTTATGAAATCGACTTTTACTAAAAGACATTTTATGTACTGATGGCTAAAATTTCAAAGCACCCAGTTATGATCAGTCAAACAATTATTTCTAGACCATTAAGGCACCAACGCAGGTCTTATTGGGAGAAATAAAAAAATATCGATAGCGTAAAATCATGGGGATTGATTAAACGTATACCAGTGATTAAAAGAGATTGCAAAATGGTGATCTGGTGTAATGATGGGCAGTACACATTGAAACCGAAAAGTAAATGTTTCTAAAGAGTATCAATTGCCTTGCACTAATTGCAGGAAAAGTTAATATCGCATCAGTTACCATTATTGACGTACCTTCCGATATTGCAGTCCCCAACTTCAAAGACATTTCTAACAAGGAATGTTAGTTGGAGATGAACAATTTGAATTAAAATGCCAATTTGATAAAGTTCTTTTTTTCTAGCAATGGTTATTTATTACCAAATGTCCTTCAATTCTCATTTTAATTTTTCGACCTGTAACTGTGAATATACCCTCCAAGGCTGTGTTTAGCTATATGAATATAAGGGGAGCCTTCATCTAATGGGAATATTGTCCTATGTTGGCAAAAATGAAAAGAGAGGATCACAAATTGATGGGAGGTGAAATGTTTCTCTCTTCTCTCTTCCCTTTCTTTTCTCTCTCTCATCTTTTTTCTCCCCATCTCTCTCATTACCTGTTAGTTAGATGGCCCACAAAGGGATTGGCTATCAGCTGAATTAGTGCCTTAGATGCAAACATCAGCCCAACTTCTACATTCTCGTTGGCTAATTCTGCATGTCGTCGAGTCTCGATTGGAATCTCATCCACATCCTGAACTGTCTCATTCACAGTATGGTTTACACAGTCCATATAGCTCGGACTCTCTGCATAGCTAAATCTCTTGTTGTAGGTACTGACTAGTCTTTGGATATTTGATTGTAACGTCACATTCACAGGAACACACTTGGTAATTAGGGCAGTCCTGTTCACTGTTTTATTCACATATTCGTACGGACTCTCCAGTTTCCGTAAGAAATTTGGTATAATGGGCACTAAGATATATAAAAATGATAAGACATTTGGGAAGAAAATAAGACTGAAATATAACAATTATATATATACTCGGTATTGTTTTTTTTACGGAAAGATAAAATGAAGAGGTGTTTTCAAGAGGAAAAATCCTTCACTCTTTTTGTTCATTAAATGGAAGGCTATCAAACTTCCTCTTCATTATATCTACCAGCAAAAGTGTCTATACGGATAGTTTTATTGGGACATTGTATTAATAAACATATAGTGCATTTAAATACATTTCTGATCCGTTGATTTTCTTCTTGAAAAGGGTAAAACGTATATAAAAAAAACAGTATTTGTTATCAAGTTTGTTACCATTGGAGCAATCAGAATCAATCCAGCTAACAAATGAATATCTTTTGTAGAAAACTGTTTGTATTGCTTGCTGACTTTATATTGAATATTTGATTGTTATCATACTGATTGTTTTATTTGATTGATTATTTGATAGAATGATGACCGTTGGATACTGACCGACAACAGATAGAAGCATGTTGTCCAGGAAGAGAGCAATGAAAACGATGACGAGAACGAGGTATCGAGACTGGCGACATCTGTTGATGCATCCCGACACCTTACTAAGGGAGACTACCTCCTTCACCGTCATACTCCCACGTCCAAATCTGTAAATACATAATAATAAATATATAATAATACAAGGGTCATAATAATACAATCATGAATATTAGGGATCCAATTTTTTAGATTTCTAATTATAAATTAAGCTCTCAAAACCTAATCATCTTCAAAAGCTTATACATTTTATATTTTTACGACATTTTGCGAAAGTAATTTACTTTCAGTATAAGAACAAAATTATTTGTTACAAGTTACATGTAGAACTTTTTATAGATAAATATAATGAAGTTATCTTTCGTACAAGATTATTAATATGATATGATATTAATATGATATAATGTTATGCACGGATTGTTTGATCGGTCGACGGGGGATGCTTAATGGTCCATGGAATCTGATCCCACCTCTGATGTTTCGGAGGTCCGTGTCTGCTCTGCTCCCAAGTTTTCTTGTTTCAATATACTATTAATTGGGCTTAGTTATTTTTCGTCATCTCAATAAATTATTTCATTGGAATTCCTAATCCGAACAGTAAATTTAAAGTACATGTATATATATAATCTGAACTTTAAATTTCTCTATTATTTCTAGCCGAATTGTAAAATGTACAGCAGACTTTAAAGAATTGTCCCTTCTTTAAAAACATTTTATAAAGAACGAGATTCAGTCTTTTCACCTCAATGTAAACTTTCAACTTGTCATGGTATATCTGATGCGATGTTTAAAATTCTTGCCAAACCGACAAAGTTTGACAAAGTTTTACAAGATGTGAAGGCTAAAATGTCAATACATAATGTATATTGAAATCTATGAGGTTAACCTGTCATCGTGTTAACCCAAATGTTATTGGTACATCAACGTCATTAATTAACACTTGAATCATATGACGCACTTTCCGTTTGGTGCACTTTTAAACGTGTAACGTGCTCTTTCATCATGATAATTGTGACTTTGTGAAGCGAAATACCAAGAAGTTTATCGTAGAAATGACGTAACAAGAAAAGATGGACTCATTTTTGTTAACCATTACAGATTGTTCTAGAATCCATGATAGAAAAAAATGAAAATAAAATGTGATATTTAACTGTAGAATTATCATTTATATTACTTGCATTTAAAAGAACCCCTATATAAATAATAATGCATTGTCAAAATATATAATTTTGAAAAAGTTTGACTGTTGATATTATGGAAGTAAATAAGTAGGTCTTTAAAGAAATAAAATTGTTGCTTTATAACCTCTTGAAAATAAACTTAACATTTAATTGATCTAACTTTACTTATATCTTTTTCTCTTAATTTTAACTAATAAAACCTTGCTCTCTGAATAAATATATATTGTAAATGCAGAAGACATTTTAAAGTATACTAGATGACTGAACCTGAATTAGTGGTAAGTATGACAATATGAATTTACAAAAGAAGAAAAAAATATATCCTTACCTATGTAAATCTAAATTTCAATTTCTGTATCTTTGGTACTTTGTCGTAGTCACACCGATACCATCAGCCAAATGTTAATTTTTCTTCTCCTTCATTATTTCCTAATTAAGTTTTTGACGTAACCAGCACTGGAATTTGTACCATCACGGGGCGAAATCGCCGTTTGTCAAATGGACTAACTCGTGTTCCCTGAAATGTTTTTACGATTGGTTAGCACTTACAGAAAAAATCAATTAATTTTTCATAGTATATTTATATATAACAAATACCGAGGGATGCTTACAGCATTCATAATAGCTCTTACGACAGGTGTTGGCACAAAACATAACTTTTCTCTTATTGCAGAAGAGAGGATTGACAATTTAAGGAGGCGGGGGGTCATCAAATTAACCATCAGATATAACTAATTTTTTAGATATGATCTTAAACTGTCAACTATCATTTGGCAAAGAAATATTTTATAGATTTTAGGTTGAACATTTTAATTGATATTTTTTATATATCTATGCGGAGGTCTTCTTCTAAAAGAGGATCAAAAATGGTCTGAAATTTGCCACAACCCTCTAGCCCTCTTTAAAAAAAAATTTAAAAAAATTATAACATCTTAAGAAACAACCTTGAAAGTTAACCTTTTAGAATAGAGCAAGATTGTACATTTTAGATACAGAATGACTGTAATTATATATTACATTATATTACATACATTACATTAAGTTAACCTTTTAGAATAGAACAAGATTGTAGATTTTAGATACAGAATGACTGTAATTATATATTACATATATTACATTAAAAAACTTAACTAAAACTTAACAACGGGAGATTTTAATAATTATGGAATCTGGAATACTGAGGAAATTAATACAACTTTATAGCGTATGCTCTAATATCTGAACATTTATTTCAATAGTAACATACTAAATAAGGTTGATAAATTGCTATCTAATTGAGAATTTTATCCGAACATTTCCCCTTTGATGAAAATACATTCCAGTAACATCGGAATTCGTTATTTATGGGCATTTTTGGCATTAATATTAACTATCCTTATATTTTCCATTTGTTAATCAATTATTTACAGCTTTTTTGCTTGCCATTTAACATTATTCAGATTACATTCTGTTTGCTACTTATTGTATTACAGTTACTCAGTATGTATGTACATTCTTTTGTTTCTTTCGCATTCATCTTCGCTAGCCAAAGGTTTCTGATACGGTACTCTCCTCATAAACCCTTGGCATACGGTGCTGTGAAAAGGAAGGATTTGTTTTCGTCACGTGATCTCGAATTTCAACAGGTACGCACAGATTGCGTCATCAACAGAAATATATAACATATTTAAACGATTATAGTTTTTTAGAAAATAATTATTAATAATTATAATTATAATTGTAGTAAAGATTTACCACCATAGAAACACCTTTCCGTAGACAACAAAAAGAATTTGGATTAGAACAATTGGGACAGTCTTTTCTTATGGATGAAATGAAAATGTCGATAGTGTTGGAAATCTTTCAATCTTTCCACAGTGTAACAATGAAAATGTGATGGGGCTTTTTAACCATACACAGAGACGTAAGTCATGGGCATCAGTCTTACAATAAACTGTAATAATGTACGATATCTCTCTTGATTCATTACTACCTTATGTAAAAAAACAGGTAGGTCTACAACGTACTGGTCTCTGCTTACAAAATAGGTAGCAACATTGTCTTCATTCCTAAAGTGGTGATCCAACGTATACTCATAGTTCCCTTTTTAAGGGAGAAATTCTTCAAAATCATATGTTAGTTTTGTATATTTTTAATATCCAGAAGAACCAAAATGAATTTTAATTACCATATCTACTAGTAAATTGGATTCCAATACTTCATAAAAATCCTTACAAAGGTACATAGTGGGTTCCAGTAAATGTTCAACCAAGCCTCTTTCTTTAAGTGGTGTAAATCAGATGTGGATACTTAAAAATTCTAAGGAACTTTTGGAAAATTTGAATCACAAGATTTTAATAAAAATCAACAGCTTAAAAACTTACGACTTTTTCAACTTTATACACAACCATTCTCCACGATAAATTAAAGTTCAGGCTTTTGGATATTTTTGACAGCTGCTTTTTCAAAAAAATGGAATTCGTTAATTTACTTACAATGTATCTCACCTTGTCATGGGCTATTTGCAAAAATGTTTGGTAATTATCAAAAAACATGGACTTTAATTTATCGTTGGGAATACTAATGTACAAATTTTGAAGAATCCACATCTGATTTACACCACTTCTCAAATAATTTGTCACATAGTTCTCTTAAAGTTTCTTCTTCAATACTGTTAATATCTTAGGAGAAAAGAAAGAGGCTTGATTTAACATTTACTGGTACCCGCTATGTGTTTTGTTTAGGATTTTTTAATGAAGTTTCGATATCCAACATAGATATGGTAATTCAAATTCATTTTAATTGTTTTGGATTCTAAAAGTATTCAAAACTGAGAAAATGATATTAAGTCTCCTCCAAAGAAAAAATGTGTTTGTATCATCTGTCCCTAACCGTTTTTTAGAATGTCAGGATATTCCTAAATTGGGAATAATAGATCACCAGATCGTATGTCATGTGTTTATTTATTTTTATTAGGGATTTCATTTTAAATTATTAATGTAATTCAAGAGAAAACTCTAGCACATGTAAATATAATACAAAAGAAGCTCCCTGAGGTATGGGAGAAATGAACTTAATTGAACCCCTTTTTCAGATATTTCTCATTTGTCTATGTTACAAATTGACAGTGATGTTATTTTTACCCGCATATTGGAATTGCGTTTTTGCCGTTAATTGTTCCAACAATCAGTGTTGAAAACATAATATGTAAAAAGAACTCCCTGGTAAACTCGTGGAGATAGAATCGCTCCCTGTTTGGATATACGACTTTACATTGTATTGAATTAATCTTTGGAAGTCAATATTTCTGCAGTCGGTTAAAGAGAAAAATAAACATTCATTAAATTGTCCTATAGATCTACGTTATAGAAGAATACCATCAAACGTGCTACGTTAAATGCCACCTTCTACCGGAATACCGACTTATACTCCGCGGTCGACCTATTTGGGGGGATTAAGTGATGGTTTTGTATTATGCGACAGACAAAACCCTAATTGGTTTGTTGTAAAAAGAACAATTATAAACGGCAGATTTCATGTTCGACAATAACCGATATGTTTATTTAGACGATTCATAAAAGTTCCGATAATCGATATCTGGTACTTTAAGGCCTTGGGCCCGCATATTAACCCAAAGTGTGGAGGTGTCTCGACTAACAGAATCATGCATGGGGGTCGATTGTTTAGTCCCCGAGCTGAGGGGATTTGTTATTTCAAATTTATATTTATTTTACGATATAAAAATGACGAAATCGATGATACTTTAGAAAAGTATAGAAAAACTTCATCCCACACAATTTTTTAAATTACCGTCTTTGAACATCATATTATTTTTCTTTTTGGGTAAATATCCGATAACCTTTGCAAAATGAAACATATAAACTCCATGTTCACATATTTAAAAAATATAACTTTTTCAATATACAAAACCTACTTTTTTAGGTTGTTTTTAAATAATTCATTACTGAGTGACTGTTTTCATATCATTTGATATTACCTTATTGGTTATCAACTGTTGTTCTTTACATCATTTGTTATCAACTGGTTGTTCCTACATCATTTGTTATTGAGGGGTTTTTATAACATTATTTATAAGTATGCCTTTGTTACATTGTTATTAATGGTTTTTGATACAGAATTCGTTATTGAGTGGTTGTTTTCACATTATTTGTGAGTGGTTGTTACATGTATATTGTTTGTTATTGAGGAATTGTTCTTTACATCATTTGTTATTCAGTGGTTGTTTTACATTATTTGTTAGTATGTGGTTGTTACATTGTTTGTTATGAAGGGTTGTTAATACATAATTTGTCCTTTAGTGGTTGTTTTCACATTATTTGTTATTCAGGGGTTGTTATTACATTATTTTTGTTATTGAGTGGTTGTTATTACATTATTTTTGTTATTGAGTGGTTGTTATTACATTATTTTTGTTATTGAGTGGTTGTTATTACATTATTTTTGTTATTGAGGGGTTTTTATTACATTATTTTTGTTATTGAGTGGTTGTTACTATATTATTTTTGTTATTGAGTGGTTGTTAATACATAATTTGTCATTTAGTGTTTTTTTTCACATTATTTGTTATTGAGTGGTTGTTATTACATTATTTTTGTTATTGAGTGGTTGTTATAACATAATTTGTTATTGAGTGGTTGTTATAACATAATTAGTTATTGAGTGGTTGTTATTTTATTATTTTTGTTATTGAGTGGTTGTTATTATATTATTTTTGTTATTGAGTGGTTCTTATTACATTATTTTTGTTATTGAGTGGTTGTTATTATATTATTTTTGTTATTGAGTGGTTCTTATTACATTATTTTTGTTATTGAGTGGTTGTTATTACATTATTTTTGTTATTGAGTGGTTGTTATTACATTATTTTTGTTATTGAGTGGTTGTTATTATATTATTTTTGTTATTGATTGGTTGTTATTACATTATTTTTGTTATTGAGTGGTTGTTATTATATTATTTTTGTTATTGAGTGGGTGTTATTACATTATTTTTGTTATTGAGTGGTTGTTATTATATTATTTTTGTTATTGAGTGGTTGTTATTATATTATTTTTGTTATTGAGTGGTTGCTATTACATTATTTTTGTTATTGAGTGGTTGCTATTACATTATTTTTGTTATTGATTGGTTGTTATTACATTATTTTTGTTATTGAGGGGTTGTTATTACATTATTTTTGTTATTGAGTGGTTGTTATTATATTATTTTTGTTATTGAGTGGTTGTTATTATATTATTTTTGTTACTGAGTGATTGTTAATACATAGTGGGTTTTTTTCACATTATTTGTTATTGAGTGGTTGTTATTATATTATTTTTGTTATTGAGTGGTTGTTATTATATTATTTTTGTTATTGAGTAGTTGTTATTATATTATTTTTGTTACTGAGTGATTGTTAATACATGATTTGTCATTTAGTGGGTTTTTTTCACATTATTTGTTATTGAGTGGTTGTTATTATATTATTTTTGTTACTGAGTGATTGTTAATACATAATTTGTCATTTAGTGGGTTTTT